TAGCATGCATTTCGGGCACAACTGATATTAAAGAACTAGTGAAAGGTGCTATGTTCATACAGGAATGCATACCCGAACGTCTAGATATGAAACAATCTCTATATAAACAGCTGGACACCATTGTGGACAATCAGACTATACTTTCTAGCTCCACAAGCACATTTCTACCTTCACTATTCAGCAAAGATTTAAAACACAAAGAGAATGTAAGTATATATATACATATGTATCATTATGTTGTTATGAAAATGAATATTAGATCGAGTTCATTACAAACTGTTATTGATTTGTTTGCTAATAGTTTAAAATGTGATTACGACCTTGATTTGACCTGTTTAATTCAATCAGTACATTTATATTCGCTGCTTTTAATAACATTCCATTATTTTTTACTCTACTCTACAAATGATTTTCAGTTGATTATAATATTTACACTAAAGGCTTGATAAGAAATGTTAAATCTTTTTTCAAGCATTGATACTAAATGCACTTGTTGCAACTGTTATCGCATCAGAGATTGAAATTATTTACCTCTTTTTTATAAATAAATTTTCAAACTTCATATATTAAAAATATTTTTTTACTTTTGCTCCATTTTTAATTAACTGCCGCATAGTTACGAATTTTATCAATTCGTTTCGTTTTATTTATTTTGATTAAATTTAACTTTTATCTTTTACTCTTAACTCTTGATAACTAAAGTGTTATTTGAACAATAACAACCAAAATAAACAAGAAACTAATTTAATCTTTCGTAACTATTTAAAGTGTTAGAACACTTTTTTCTATATATTTTCTTAAATCAATAACAATCAAAATTTATTATTATTTTTTCATATATTTTGCAGAAATTATATACATATCTATAAATTACAAATTTGATCGATATTCACACACAAAATTTAATTGTTATACGCATTAATAATAACTGTTATACAATTATATGTGGTACACAAAACTAATTTAACATTGAACAGAACGTAATGGAATATATTCATATTATATTATATTAATATATTTATATTGATGTTAAAATATTTATATTAATATATTTATATTTATTTATATTGATATTAATATATTTATATAATATATTAATATTAATATTTTATATTGATATTATTATATTCATATTAATATTAGTATATTTATATTAATACTAATATGTTTATATTGATATTAATATATGTATTTATGTTGATATTAATATATTTAAATTAATATTAATATATTTATATTGATTTTAATATATTTATATTAATATTAATATATCTATTTACATTAATATTAATATATTTATATTGTTATTAATATATTTGAACTAATATTAATATTTATATATTTATATCGATATTAATATTAATATATTTATTTAATTAAATATATTTATGTTTATATTAAGTATATTCATTTAATTAATTTATATTATTTAAAGTGTTAGAATTTTCTTTCCAATTTTTCCTAAATTCAATAATAACATAATTCAAAATTTTTATTAATTATTTTATATAATTGTAGTAATTATATAGTTTTATACGTCAACAAATTATGATCGATTTTCGTATAAAAAAATTACTGTTATACGCTTTAATAACTGTTATACGTTATTATGACTGTTGTGTTATGTTATGGCTATGTTAATTTATTGTCTTTACTAAAAAATTTAAATATTTTCCTGTCTGCAAGTGTGGGTGAAAATCATTTTTGAAGAATTATAATTTATTAACAATTATAAAAATTTCTAAATTAACAACAAAACTATTTGAATGCGTAGGTAGGTCTTATTTAATTAATTTAAAAAATTTAATTAGTTTTCTATTACGTTATTACTTATTTTTTGTTATACATTTTTATATACAATATAAATTTGTATAAATATATTGCAATTATTTGGATTTCACTTTTTTTATAATATATTTCAGTTATGTAAAGCTTTTAGGGACTATTTTACAAAATAATCGTTGTTAGTTTGTGTCTGTTATTATTGTAAATCTTGAAAACCTATAAATTAGGAAACATAAAAAATTTGCAGTTCACTCATGTAGTAGCCAAGATCGTCTTCGGTATTTATTTTCTATATCTATTTAGAATTAATTAGTTGAAGAATTAATGAACATTAACCAACAATTATCATATATTTTTTAATATTTAATTTTTATTAATATCATATATTTTATTATTTAATATTTAATATATAATTAAAAGTGTAATTAATCGTCTAATACTACAATTTTTAATTTGTGGTGCAGTCGCCTATATACTTAAGGCCTTTTAATAGCTTACAATAATAATCTAAAGTGTTTTACAATACATTTGTAAACGTGCGAAAACGGTTTTTGTTTTGATTTTAATTTTAATACTAAAAATCTGTTACCTAAGACCTTTTTTTTAATAACAGGACTAACAGTAGTCATTGTCGAAGAAATTTCGCAAACGGAGAGGGAGAAGAACCCTCTCTCATCGTTGCATACATTAATTCATTTACTTGTATCAGGAAGACATGATACCTACCTTACCGAAACATAGACAACACCATTTAGGTCGAGTATAGTCAAAGGCTTTCTGTCTCTTAGGCAGTATCCATTTGAGTCCATATTCGTATCACAACAAGGTTCTTAATATCTATAATATCTGAGAAGAAAGGAATGAAGGACGACCCCCACGAGCTGCAAGAACTGTTCAAGTCTAGTTGAGAACCAGATATAAACACTTAATTAATAATTATTTGTCAAGTATAAATATGTTTGGACTTAATGTGTATTTTAACTGTAGTTCAATTTCCATGATGGTTTAAGTTTAAGTAATATCTTTTAAGTTTATAGTATTAAACTAATTATTAGTATGAAAAACTATGCAGATTAAAATTTGGGTAGTGCTGACACTTTTTCAAAAATATACATTTGTGTTCGTAATCGAGCGTTATTTTGTTGACATCACCACTGAACAGATACTCTCTCTCTACAGATACTGGTATCACATCCAGTAAATCCACCCTACTATGTACCTCTCGTTGAAATTGTACCAGCTCCATGGACAAAGCCCGAAGCAGTTAAAAAAACACGTGCACTAATGGAAGAAATCGGACAGAAACCAGTAACCTTAAGTCGTGAAATAGAAGGTTTCGCATTAAATCGCATACAATATGCAATTTTAAATGAAACTTGGCGTTTGGTGGAGGCAGGCATTTTAGATGTAAAAGACATTGATAGTGTTATGTCCGATGGCTTAGGAATGCGTTACGCTTTCCTTGGTCCATTAGAAACAGCACATTTAAATGCTGAAGGTATGACCAACTATTTCGAACGTTACTCAAAAACTATTTACGCGGTTAGTGAAACAATGGGTCCAACTCCAAAAATGGAAGGTAATATTGTCTGGAAGTCTATATTATTTTGATATAACATAGTTCTTCTATGTCTTATTTTTTTTTAGGTGCTACTGCCGTTGAAGTTGCCAAACAATGTGAAGCCATGGTTCCTTTGAATAAATTGAATGAACGTCGTACTTATCGTGATAATTGTCTTACACAGTTGAGCATACTGAAAAGCAAACTGAACAAAAATAATTAATGATTTTACAATGATTATAATTAACACTTTTTTTTATTAAAAACAATAAAGCTTAAATTTTTTAAAACACATTTTAATATTGTTTAGTTGTAAACTTGATCTTAACAATTGCAGTTTCATATTTATAAATTTGAACAATTTTTTTATTTTTGTTAAGTAATACAACTACTGCAACTTTATACTTAAAATCTAAAAAATAAGTTATAAGTTAAAGTTATAATACAGTTTAAATAAATTATTTATTAAGTACAGTCCTAATTCAATGAATTTTAAAAAAATATATTACGAAGGCAATTAACAAGTAATTGATATAAGTTCACATCAAATTTAATTTTTAGCAATAAATTTAAAAAAATTTTGGTTTAATTATGTACGAGAAAAAGTATATATAAATTATTTTAGGTATATAGTTTATATATATGGTAAAATTACTTTTATATAAATATAATAAATTAACTCATTGATCACGTGCACATATTTCACAATTAAGTACATATATATTTAGTGCTATTAAAATCTATTTTATTTATTTTTTTCTTGTTATATTATGAACTCAACTTATTGCAATAATTTTATAATGTTATGAACAATTTATTGTTTATAAAAACACGTATAGTAGCTATTTTTAACATTGAAGCCATCATAAAAGTTATTGTCATTAAACAATTATTGCTATATTTACTTTTGGTATATATAATTTAAAAGTTCACACAACATTAGCTAAATTGTTTTAAAATAAATAAAGTAGTGTTATGATTAATAAGTTTTTCTATGTATATAATATATATACAACCTTATTACTAACTTGGCTTATCAATTTTAAATGCATTTATTTTATCCTTGAGTTGTTGACACAATGTTAGTCCAACGGTGAATAGCACCAAAACTTCATTTAACCAACCTACTGAGCATTCGGCTTGTGTAGCTTCCATTTTCATTGTTCCCTGTACATTGAGCAATTGATAGACAGCTATAATTAATTTATGACATTGTAAAAAAAATGATATTGCTATATCCTCTGGTAAGTTGGGCGTAAGAGATTTCTAAAATTTCAAATAGTATATATAAATATTTTAAAGTTAAATAAAAGAAATAGCTTGATATTTATTACCATATTACGTCCTTTCATAAGCTCGTCGATTGCTTTTTTCTTTGGTATTATTAAACTAGTACGACCTCGTTGTAAAGCACCTATTAGTTCACTTACAATTTGCAGAACTTCTTCGCATGATCTGGAAGAGATTGCAATGTATTATTACCAAATATTTTATATCACACATATTTTATATAAAATAAACATTGTATACAGTTGATAATATAAAATAATATGTTATTAGAATATACTTTATATAATATTTATATATTTTATGTAAGTATATTGCACATATAACTTAAGCTACATAAGCACTTTGTAACAAATTAGAATATATAATATACCAAATTGTTCTAATTTATATTTTTTAATAATTATACTAATACAAACAAAAAAATTAATGTGCACGACAATTAGTCGTCTGTAAATACGAGTAGTTCTAGAAAGGATCCACTTTCGGTACACAGATATCTCAGCTGATCTTATAAACTTACGAACAAGGTGCAACTAATAAAAATAATGACATAAAATAATGACAACGCATAAAGGAGCACCAGAATAATTTGATATAAGGTAGACAAAGAACAGTTTTAGTCCACACATTAAAGAAACAACATATTAATCGGACTTTGACAACGTTCAACATATTAACCGGACTTTGACAAGTTTCACAACAAGCTACCAACATTAGAGAGCCTCCATATAATAAAAGGTATCAATAGAACCATGCACAGGAAAGAACATAGTAAGTACATTAGCAAGAGCTATCTGTAACTCCAACATTTCAATCTAATTATTATTTTAAATTACAGTATTGTTCTACTATAAATAGTTTTAATTAAATGCTTTTAGGATTTGCTACTATAACATCCTACCCTGAGAAAGAAATCATATAAACTTCTTCAAAACGTTAGCAAATTTACCAGTCGAGGATGGAAGTTTCCGTTACAAATCAAAGTTAGAGAGTCATAATAAATAGGATTAGAACTTTCATTTACTGTCAGGTAGAGACAATATTCTAACGCCCCAGACGGATGCATGTTGCCAAGACGGTAGTGACGATCAACATATCCCGTTAGACGATTAGCAAGCTTAGTTCTGTCCTACTTACAATAAAAATAAAATCTACAGTAAAATAATATTGAATGTGTTTAATATCTTCTCAAAAATTATTATAATTAATGACCAAAATTAATGGCACATTCTACATCTATTATCGCAAGAAAAAATTTCAATTGATTTTTCTTAATCTTAATATAATGGCTATTAGCTTAATTCAGTTAATAATTACTTACTTAAAGATATAGTTTTCGTCCACGTTATCAATATGATTGATAGCTTGCTGTAGGTGATTTGCAGCGTCTTGGACTTGTTGCAATTTCCACGGTTGATCTGGACAAATAGAAGTACGTTGTACTTGACTTGAAGCTCGTTTCAATTTGAAACTTATATCCTAAAAAATTAAAATATATTTATTAGATTTAGAAATGGAAAAATATGCATAAATTGTGCTCACCGCCTGCGTTATGCTGTCACCGGTTAAGGTAACAGAGCATTTGAGCTGATCCTGTGGTGTTGAGAGCACAAACTTTTCAGTACGTTTGCCTTCATTCTCATACAATGGAACTGGAAAACGCTTTGCACATTCCTTTAAATTAAATAATGCATTAATAATTATTTATTTATAATAAAAAGTTTTTTTATTCACCACTAATATTTCACGTAGATTTTTAAGTATCGAATGCACTTCATCCCGCATTACCCATTCAAATTCAATTTGCTAAAAAAAACAATTTGTTGAAAATTTATTGATTTTTCCAAGCAACATTGGTTAACACTTAAATGAATTGCTAAATTAATATAATATATTTATTACTTTGCTGTAGCATTTTTTCTATAGTAATTTGTTTATATTTGCTTTTGTTTACTTTAGTCTTATCGTTGTTATTGCACATTTTGTTTAATTTGTTTAGTCTTTTTTGCACCGAGATCCAATCTCTTGTACTCATTTTCTTGAAATTGTTTTTGTGTTTTTGAAGTTAATTATAATTTAATTAGTTTATCAATAAATGCTGCATACTTTACTTAAACTATATTATGTTTTTTTTTGTTTAAAAAATAACTTACAAGATTTTTTACTTCACTTTCGATGATATCTTCCATTGTTATGAATTCATAAATACCGTGTATTCACAATAGTTCACTCAATTAATGAACCTTAACCCGTTAGGGGCGAAATAGTAAATGTGCAAATTAAATTATTTTTAATAACAATTTATGGCCGTATGCGAGTTCGAGTAAATTAATGGTAAATTAAGGGAAATAGTAAATCGTGTCGGTTACAACGAATATTGGCAACGAATGTTACTATTGACCAGAATTTCGCGTAGTGTAAATTAGATAAAAATTAGGTAAATTAGGTATTACCATTGTGAAAATTTTATAAGATCTTTAATAAATAAATAAATAATAAATAAGTGCAATAAATAAATATTTACACAAGTGCAGTGTAAAAAATCCCCAGAGAATTTCAATTTACTTTACCTCAATTTACTTGAACTTGCACACGGTCTTAATAAACAATTTATTTATTCCAACCTTGTCTTACTTTATTTTCGTTGATGCATTGGATTTTATAGGTTTTTGAGGGTCTACCTAGCTTTTACTTCATCTTTTTCATTTGCAAAACTTGTACCATGTTCAGACACATTTGAATTTCACAAAAATCTTAATTTCATTTTCGTTTCAGTAAAATGAGCTTTATTAACTTTAGTGGAGGTTTTAGGTATGTGAATTATTATTTTTCACTTTATTTTAAATTAATAACAATAACATTTTATTCTTTATATTCAAATTTAAAAATTAGCACTACTTTTTAAATATTTTCCCGATTTTATTAAAGTTAACTCTCACTGACATTTATTTTAAAAAAATGTTACTTTTTCGTTATCTCAACTTTATCTTTTGCTTAAAATTTATCTTACGCATAGTTGCATTCGAATTGTCCCTTTATTTCAGCCCCTTTTCTCTTGCTATTAATATTAATGAACATTCCCAAAATCTTGATAAAATTAATCCATAAGAAATTATATCACATCCTAAAATATATGAAATACTTATAAAATAATTTTTATAAAAATTAAATAAAATTATAAAAAATCTAAATAAAAATAATATATTTTGAACCATTCAAAATATATTATTAAAAAACAAACGGGAATTAAAAATATAACAAAAAAATAATTTTTAACATTGTAAAATTCTAAACAACTGAAAATAAGCATTCCCATGAGTTCGAATTATAGAAATCAAAATAGAAATACGAGGGTGATTTGATAAGTCAGTGATTTTTTGAGTAAAACAAATTTTTTTCGGCAAATAAACATTTTATTTTTCTACATAATCACCTTTTAGCTCGATACATTTAGTCCAGCGTTTTTCAAATTTTTTTATTCCCTCCAAATAATAGGTTTTCTCAAAGCTCTCAAAAGCGTTTGTTTCGGTAATGACTTCTTCATTCGACTTAAATCTCTTACCGCCCAGCCATTTCTTCAGGTTCGGAAACAGAAAATAGTCGCAGGGTGCTAAATCTGGAGAATATGCTGAATGGGGTAGCAGTTCGCATCCCAATTCGTGGATTTGGGTTCGTAATGTTAAATCAGCACACGAAATTCACTTTTTTCCATTTTCGTAAAAATTCACGAGGTTGTCTACTTTGAACGGTTATCCAACATCAACTGAACGACGTAGCTTGCTCAAAATTAAGAAGTTGCCCACTGGTAGATTACAGCTGACGGCAGCACTGTTGCATTTGGAGTAATTACGCGGGAAATTTAAAAAGTCACTGATTTATCAAACCGACCACGTACCTAAAATCCCTTCACAAACTCTATATGTTAAATATATTATTTAATATGACGTTATGCGGTCATATTGAGGATCAAGCAGATTAGAAGCAAAAATAATTGTGATAAAAGTTCATATAAACGGGATAATAGGAATACCAGTAAAAAAGATTAAATTAAAAACGGGTACCAAGAACGGTCGGGTCTACGTCCTAAAGCCACTTGTCGCCAGCGACGACCAAGTGTCGTTCAACACCCGCCAAAGGGACTTCACAAGCAGGTCCCAGCGGCTTACAACAACAACGCAATTAGAAAAACAATATTAATAAAAACAAATCAAATAAAAAACTATAAAACTATATATAAAAAAATTCCATAAATATTTATGACGAAATGTATGCGTTTATTAAATATTATTAAAATTTAAGTACATATTTAATAATTTATTATTACATTAAAAAATTTAAGTACGTATGCTAAAAATGGAGGGAACAAATTTTAAAATATATAGTACGTAACACGTAACATAAAAAATTCGATGAAAAAGTTTTTTATAGATATAACAACGTGGCAAGTATTGGTTTGCAACAACTTACAACAAAAATATAATATAGAATCACAAAAAACGATAAGGATAAGGATAAAATATATATATGATATATGTTAAGAAAGTCCAAAACATTTATGGTTTTTTATTCTCTTTTTGTTTATGCACACCGGAAACTCCAACCGAAGCTCTGGCACCTAACCGAACAGTCTGAAATATAAAATCGAAAAAATAAAATAAAAAATTTAACGAATATAATAAGAACGAATATAATTCAATTAAAATACTAACTGATCTTTTTGGTTCGACACCACCTAAAGCAGTACTGAATCTGCTTTTCATAGGTGAGCGTTGTTTGAGTGGTGATTTTATAGTCTTCGGTTCGGCGAGTGTTTGTCGTCTTATACCAGCTGACAGTCTTGTTGGTGTAGTTGGTTGGTATGAATACCGCGGTTTATCTAAATACCGAGGTGAAGTATTTAAAGCAGTAGTAGTTGTAGACATTGGCGTACTCGTGTGTGATGGTTTACCAGGTTTATTCAGAAATTGTATGGAACTGTTTAAGTTGTGTTTACTATTAGCCATGGTACCAGGTGGTGAAGGCTTTAGCATTGGTGCAACTTTTTTCACTGGTATGGTTGCTTTAAGTGGAACATTTGATTTCATTATCGAACCACTTGAAATGCCTGGTTTAGGCTTCTTTTTCAAATCTGGCTTATAGGCAAACATATTACATTGTGGCATAGGATTAATCATAACTTTTGGTTGCGTTTCATGATGCGTTTCTAATCTTTGTGGTGTTCGTAAATTATTTGTAATTTTTGTTATTGTATCAGATACGCTAACCAAAAAAAAAAAAATTAATAAACATTTTAAAGCGCAAATTATTTTTTTAAACTTACCAACTCTTACGCCTGTCATTTACTGTATTTAAGGGCGTATGCGGTGTTCCACTTGAGTAAGAATTTCGTCGTGCTCTCATACGTGTCGGTGTTTTAAAACCTCCACTGTCTGGAGTTGTAGGTGAAAGATGATTGTTTATCACTGGCACTGCTGTCTGCATGGGAATCTGTAAAACTTTTATTTTATCATGTAATGACAATGACTGTGAACGCCGACGAGTTTTTACGGCTCCAGGCGACAATTCCTGCATGTTAGTTTGTGGCGTATTCATAACGACTATAAATGTTGGATTTATAGCAGCAGCTCCAACATTACCATTACTAGCGTTGCCGGAATCATCACTTAAAGCTAACTGATTCCCCAGGACCTTTCCTAATTGTTCAAGTAAATCACTGATATCTGATTGTGCTGGTGATGAATGTGTGGACGGATATAATGGATCAACTTCTGGAAGAAATAAATCTCTTTTTTCATCAGAAGTTTCTCCATCAAATGTACCTGATGAATTTATCATAATGTCAGGTATGGGCTGTGGAGGCCGTACGTGTTCTTGCATCACTTTTCCTGATGGCATATATATGTTATTGTCAGTGTTTGTAGAATCGTCATTTTTAATTGAATTCAAGGACTGTAAAAAGTTAAAACGAATTTATATTTAAGCTTTAAGGGTTTCAACTTTCAAATAAAAAATAAATAATACCTGTTCGACTTCCATATCGAAAGTGCCCTGCCTCTTTAAAGGTGGAGCTGAAAAACCAATACTTGTATCCTTCTCTTCTTTAGCAGGTTTCAAATCATTTTTGTCTGAAGTCCACGTACCCCTCAGCGTTTCTAGCAACATATTAACTTCCGATTTTTTTTGTTCATCAACATCATTACTGTTGCTAATTACTTTTTTAAGATCTTGTATCAACTTTGTGATATCCTGTTCTTTGTCAGCATCATCACCATGTGTTGCTTTAAGTTTTTTTCGTATTGTTTCTATATCACCGTGTACACTTGTGTCTGGTGAAATTTGTGGTTTTATTAAACGTGCACTCTCTATTATGGGCAAGTCTGAGACTTTTGCAGGAGAAGGTAATTGACTTAGCATAGGAATCTGAAGCATTTCCAAATCTGCTTCGAAATCTTTCTCTGAATCAATAAGATTCGGTGGCTCTTCAAACATCAGATCATCAACGAATTTTAATGGTGATTCAGTAAATATCATTTCACATGATTTCGCTGCTTTGTTTAAAGCAGCTGTAAAATGACTATCGCTATTTTTATTTTCCAACTGATCTGAATTTTCCTTATGACTAACTGGTGTAGTAGATGTGGAATTGGTTAAACTATACTTAAGCAAACGCTTTCTTTGATCCAAGTATTTTTTGTTTTTTCTTGCGTTTTTATTGCTTTCTGCGCTGCTAGCTGTATCGGAACTGTTTTCTACATTTTGATTTGGCGTTGACGATGCTATTTGTGTACAAGTAGAATCAGGACTATTTATTTCATCGCTAAAATGAAGAAAATTTCTACATTTGTTGGCCTTTTTACCCATATCGTCAGCGTCAGCATCATCATCGTCCAACAAATTATCATCACTAAGCGAAAGCAGTTTACCCATTTTGACTTCGGCATTTGTTAAAATAGAATTACGTGCCTGTTACAATAGATTGTCAGTTAATTTTTATAGATTTTCATCACTTTTATTACTATATTATATTACCTTCATACACGCTTCCTTTTCAACAATCTCAAAGGGATCATCAAGTCTGCGGGCTAGTTTTTGTGCATGATCAAATGGATTGTTATCGAAACTCTCGCGTCGCTCCAAACACTGAGATGATAGTAAACATACCGGTTCAAATGCAATATTGTTAGCCGGTGTGGATTCATTTTCTAAATTTTGCACGTCACTTAAATCTATAAGGTTCTCGATTTTAGATTTATCCATTTTAATCTATTCACATAACCTGCTTGGTAGCAAAGTACAAATCCTTGAAACGATGCCGCGCTTTTAAAAAAGAAACTGTTTTACCTGTCAAAAATACTGGTTTACTTCATTGTTTTTTTTGTTTTTATTGTAGTCAACCAGGTGAGCATTACAGGGTTGTTATGCCAGAATGAGACAGTACGTTGCGCCCAGCTGCTATATGTCAAATATAATTTTTGACAACAAAAAAAGATATTTGGCTGGTCGATTGTGATATCATTTCTTAAACAAAGTAAATTTCTGCACTAGTGCTGAAAATGGCTAATTTTATGCAAGAAAGTGTTGTGAACTATGTATGTTCCTGTGGCATTTTAAATCCAATTTATAAATTATTCTTCTGTCGTCACTGTTTGAAGCTGAGGTGTGGTTTTTGTGTTTGCCACGAAGTGAGTAATCGTTGGTAAATGTTCCTATATAAGGATTTGAACTATGTGTAATTATAGGTAGATTCTCATTTCTGTTCTAATTGTTTGGAAAATATACCTTCTTCGGAGGCTAGACACAAAAAAAATTGCTGTACAAATTGTTTTGATTGTCCCAGCTGCCAGCATACTTTGTCGGCACGCGCTACAACAGTAGTGAAGTAGTTTAAAAATTTTTTTTATTAAAAACAAATTTTTTATTTTATTGTATTTTTGTATAGAAAACTGGATGATGCCTCTAAAGAAGGAGAAAGTGACCCAACAAAAGTGGTTACTAAAAAAATGTACTATTTATCTTGTTTAGCTTGTCGCTGGACATCACGCGATGCTGGTATACCAGATCAATCAGTTGGTACGGAAACTTTGTTCATTTATTAATGTAAAATATAACATTTAGTTGTTTTTAGCAACTGGTGCTTGGCCTGATAGTGAATGTTCATACAGAACCAGATTTAATTCTTTGTTAGAATATTATCAAGCTGTTGTGTTACAAGACAAACAGGAGAAGCAAGAATATATGCGTCGAAAAACACCAAAAGCGCATAAGTTTCCAAGTTTGACGGTTACTATTAATTATATTTTATACTACAAAAAACATATTAATGGGTTTTTACCTTTTGTAGGATCGTACAGGTTTAACTGTATCAATGATACGCCGGCAAATTGGTTGGTCTGACAAAACCACTCAGAAAGCAAAACCAGTTAATATTGCTCCATCAGTCGCTTCAGAAGATGTGGGAGAGTTGCCGGCCAGTATTTTTACTCAAAAACTTAATCTTAAAAATAGTAAGCCATACAATTATAAAACATGCAACTTTAAATAAAAATATTATGTTTTGTTATATAGTTACCACAATCGAACAACGGCACTTTCAACCAGCTGATCAACCAATTTCTGTTAATAAGCTCTATCCTCAACGACGTTGTCTTTGGATTAAGCGCTCATTGCGCTGTCGCCAATGTGAGCATAATGTCATTAAACCGGAATATCATCCTACTTCCATCAAATATCGTATACAATTATTTGCTAATTACCATGTGCCTGATGTGCTATTAGTGCGTTGCGAACAGCCACTACTACAAGGCAAATCAAATTCTGTAATACTTAAGTTAACAAATCCAACTATGCATGATATGAAAATAGCTATAATGGATTTACCTACTGTAGAAGAAGAAATGAAATTAATTGAAGCACTTAAAAATGCTTGCAACGTTAAGGATACTTCATTGATAAATACAAGTGACCCCAATAAATCAATAACCACATTATCTCGACAAACCTCTTTGAATGAGGAACCTCGTATGGTGCGATTCCAGTCCAATTCTAAATTGGAAATGTTGGATTCTTCATTTGTTATAAACTTACGTGATGATTCAAAAGAATTTGATGAAGTCATCCCAGGGCAAAAGGAAGAACCAAAGTAAGTTAAAATAACAATTAACTTAGAGACAATAATATTATTTACATATATCGATATTTCAGATTTATTACTTGGCGCAAGGCAAACAAAGTATCCATACGCTTAAATTTCACCCCTGATGAAACACTTAAACAAGGCGATGATGTCATCTTAGGTTTTAGTATGGAATACACTTATGTCAACACTGTTACCAATACTGCTGAGAAAAAAGAGCCAACTTCTCATGCTCTTAACTCCAGAGTGTACATAAAAGTTGGAGAAATAGCAGCTCAGTAATGAGTAACTAGTAAAGCATATTTGATATGATCTTTTAATGGAGTAAACAAATGAAGAAGATTATGTTTATTTTGCTCTAAAAGAATTTGAAGTATTAACAAATTTATTAATTTTAATAATACAAAATTAAAATTGCTATTTAATAGTTTAAATCATATACTCATTAATCTTTGAATGAAGTGCTTATACACATGCTTGCAGTTTATATTATTACAACTAAATTATCAAAATATATACATATATTCAAACAATGTAATACTTTTTTATTATAAAAAATAATATGGTGTTAAGGTTTTGCGAAATTATAAAATAAATCCATTGAATTTTTTATATTTAATTTTATTTGTAACTTTACAATAATTATTATATTTCTTACTGAAGGATTTCTTCGATGGCTTTGAAAATCCGTTTATTTCTGACCTACCTAACTTGTATGTAGGTATTGGGCATGATTACAACTTGAAGCCACTTGTTATCTATAATCACCGACCGCTCATCATTTATATTGGAGTTAAGCTTAGAACTAACATTCATTTCGTTTGTCTCTACTCTACCATAAATTCGATGTATTATTCCGCTGCCTAAATTGATGCAGAAAGAAACATGATTGAATAAAATTTCATTAAGTACAATAGGATAGAATGTCATTTATTGATGTGTGAGATTATTTCCTGCACCCAATTGTGCGATTTATCAGTGTTGCCTGTGTTATTACAACAAAGTTCTGCACTTTACCGGTTATAACAAATGGCAGTTCAAAATGTAATCAAATATTTACTAAATCAGTGGTGCTAAATGTTGATGTCACGGAAAAACAATATTCCATTAGTGATTTAAGACCCAACAGTACTTACCTACCAATTTAGAGATAAATTAATTAGAATACGGAAGTGGAAATATAGATAATTATAGCAGAAATTGATATCAGATGTAAAAAGCTACATAGCATACAATATATATACAGCAAGCTCCGTTCCTTCTGAATCCTTCTGAATCAATATTGTTGTGAAACAATTTTTCAAAGCCTGGAAACTTATGTCACCTTTTGCGATATTGATAAGTGTTAAGAAGTTTTTGGATATTCTAAATTTTCATTAAGATATTGCAATTTGATTAAATTCCTAAAATGAATTTTAGTTCAATTATTTTTTCAACAGTAATTCACAGACGAAATATTTCACTAATGAATTTATCTTAAGTAGTGTAAAACCCCGTTAAGTTCTTAAATTTTCTCAGGGTCTACTGATAGCGTTACAACATATGATATAGATGAACACTTCCCTAACTAAATGTATACATCAAATAAAAGAAAGAAGTTCAAATAGTAATCAGCACTAAGTCTTTAGACACATATATTTAGATATATATTTTAGTAATTTACATTGAGTGCAATAAATTTATAAGCTTTCATGAAGATAAATATATGTATATAATAATATAGGAATACTTACTGCGACGTCTAGGGCAAAATACATCTAAAACATATTGTAGAGTATAAAGACCCTTTCAGAAATAACATTATAAACATCATTCATTCCTAAGTAAATGGTGTGAGTACTTATAAATATAGGCCTGTATATGTATTTACTAGAGGTGGACACTTGTATTGCTTTATTTAAAAGTAACCACACACACATTTATTTAGCTACAATAGTTAAACATTAATCTTAAAATAAATAATTCTAAATTAAAAAAAAAATTTGAGCATTTATAATGCCATTTTTCGGCCTTCAATAGAAATTTCAACAGCTCGTTTTGATTGCTTTAAACGTTTAGCATCAAGGAATTTTTTCATGTGCTTTTCAAATCGATTAGGCTTTCGCTTGTTATTCTGTGGAAAACAACAAAAAAAAAAAAGAGATTTTAAGAATGAATTAAAGATGATGTAGTAATCGGACTTACTGTAGAAATTTCTCCTTCGACAGTTGACTTTGGTCGTACAACATAGTCTTTATTCGATGGCAATGGAACACGAGCTCGTCCAATCCAACCAGGATCACCAGGTCGTAATACTTTTTCGTCAGAAGCAAAAGCTGAACTTAGTCCTTTCTTTTTTGTGGAAGTTGAGGGTTGAGGTTCAGGAGACTTGCGACGGTTTGGCATTTGTGCTAAATCACGTTCTTGGCGTTCCTCTTTAGACATAGCCTTAAAATCACAACTTAAATTGAAAATCGGGCGCGCCCATTCTGATATTAAACGACCAGCACGATCTCGATTCTGCTTTGTTTCCTTTGGATGTTTGTAAAGGTACATTACAGCTTTGCCAATGCCCGATTGTTTCAAATAGCTCTTGTCAATGGTAGGAAACTATAAGAATAAATTAAAATTGAATTTTCAATTTATAATAGGATTCAGCGACTTACGTCTGAGAGTAATTTTAAAATACTTTCTCGTATCTGCAAACATGGTAAACTTTTATTTGGTAATGGTGCTAACCAATCCGTCAGCACGTTGAGTACATTATGCTCTAAAAATGCCAACTGTAGATCCTTCTTAATCAGTTGAGACATAACTTGTTTTAACATAGCAATTTTTTTTGTTGCAGGTCTTCCATCTAAATTTAATTGACGATCTTCATCCGAAGCGGATTTCATATTCATAATCAGTTGATCAATCAAATCATCATTATCATTTATAAGATCTATATCGCGTTTGCGACGACGTACTTTTTTCTCTTCCTTTTTACGTAGTAACATTGCATCGAAGTCGGAAACAAAATTGTCGTTTCTAAAAATTTATCGCAATTATATTTATAACAATATGTATATATTAGTAAAAAATATACTTACTCTCTGTCATTAGATATAGGGATGTTTTCATCATCGGAACTTTCATCACCAATGCGTTTTTCTTTTGGTTTGTCATTTTCACTTGCTTTGTTTTCAGTTTGTTCCTCATCTTCTTCATCAGTATCAGTTATTTTGGGACGTTTATTGAAACTGGACTGTCCTTCATCTAATTGAGAAACAAAGTCATAAGAATTTCTTAAATTAGTTTAAAAGAATTGTTTACCTTCAGAGTCACTCAATACATTTCGTTTTTTGCCTTTATTGGAAGCAACCGAAGCTGATCTAGATCTTGATTTTGAACGAGAACGATTGCGATTAGGTGATACACTACGAGCACCAGAAAGTGAACGAGAGCGGGAACGCGATCCACTTTTTCTTTGTTTTGATTTAGAACGACTACGTGAACCACTGCGAGAACGTCTGGATATGGAACGTGAGCGACGTTTTGAGCCACTACGACTACGAGAATGACTACGTGATCGTCTTGAACCAGACCTAGAACGACTGCGACTAGCACTATGAGATCTCCTTGAGCCACTTCTTGATCGACTTCGGCTACCACTTTTAGAACGCCGTGAACCTGAACGGGATCTGCTTCGTGAATGGCTACGACTACCACTACGACTTCTACTACCACTACCACTACGTGAACGTCTAGAGCCAGAATGACTACGTGTACTACTTCGAGAACGTCTAGAACCAGACCGACTGCGCGAACCACTATGTGAACGTCTTGAACCTGATCTTGAGCGACTTCGTGAACTAGAATGTCTAGAACCTGAGCGTGAACGACTTCTACTTCTAGAGTGGCTACGACTTTTACGTACAACAGATTTGGAGCGACTTCTGCTCTTACTACGATGCACTGAACCCGATGGCGAACGACTGCGAGAATTTTTGCTTCTCGACCGACTTCTACTTTTGCTATGATGTATTGAGCCTGATGCAGAACGACTGCGAGAATTTCTACTTCTGGAGCGG